GTGTGCCTCAGGCTCTTGGTGGAATAGAGTTTCATTTTGGGGCAGCAGATGTTCTGTGGGGGAAAATGGACTCCAGGATCAAATAAGTGTGGAAGAGTTGAGTGAAAGAAAAACAAGTTTCATTAAGTCTAAAAGACAAGAACATTAATAAGCTAAAATACCTAATGAATATCTAAGAAGGACATAAATGTGTCATCTGGTTTCTTTTTCAAAAGCATAGAACCTCTGTTAACATCTTTCAAAGTTGCATAGAACTCAGGTTTAAAAATCCTAATGTAGAAGAATCATAAATGTTGAGTGGACTTTCTTTTTAATGAATTGTATAGAATATCCTGAATAAAAATAGATGTAAAGTTCAATGAGCTAAATACTCAAAATTAATACTAACCTACCATTTGTAATTTGTTACTTCGTAGATATAGATTATATTATATAGTCCCTTGGGATAAAATACGATTTTTGATTTAACATTGATCATCTAGCACCTATATTCTTTAGCAGATGTTAAATATAGCTTTATAGGAAAGGATTAAAAAGCGATTTAAAACTTTGGAAACATTATACTAATGAAATTCTTAGAATAAGCCTGAAAAAAGTAATAAATTATTATTTAATGTATTAAGAATAAAACAAAATGATAACTAGTCAGGGTTGGAGTAACCTTTAAAAAATGTATGCATTTAACATATGGCCCAATGTCTTAAAAGAACAGATAATCTTGATAAATGGCTTCAGTGTCTTTTGTTGTTGTTTCCCTTTAAATTCAAAATTACAAAGTTATGGGAGGTCTTTAGCACACAAGTCCTAGCTAAAAGTTTTATTACCCAAAGATTATACACAGTTATTTCCTGGGTTGGGAGAAAACTATTTTAATACTACTGGATGTTTCTTTTTATTTTTGACAGTTACAAATGAAAGAAATATGTTGCATTTTAAGATTGGAGGGTTTTGTTGGTATTGTTTATGAAGTGTTGTTTTTATGTTTGCATTCTAGGCTTTTTTGTCCAAGGTTTCCCTAAACTCTTGAGGTTTCAAGAACATCATGAAAAAATACTGAATAAATTTCTGTCCAAGCTTAAGCAACACTTGGTAGGTAGATGTGACACTGACGTACACCCACCTACCCCAAGAAAAAAGCTGGGATAATTAAAAATTGTCTTTGGTCCCAATTACCTTATTAATTTATGGTGTCTTCCATTTCATTTACTATGCAGTTGTAATTCCCAGTTGTTTACAAAACATTAGATTTGTAAAATTTAATATTGATAGGCTATCACAATTCTAACCAAGGGATTCGAACTTCTTTGAAGCCGATAATACAAACAATATGATATTATTGTTGTTTGGGAGGTTTTTCATTGTTCAAAAAGTATTTTTTCAGGGTCATAGAAACTTGTTGTTAGTGAACTCTATATATGCCTTACTATAGAACACAGTGGTTTAGTAAAACAAAGAAAGCTCACTATAAAATATATTAAAGAGAATCTAAGTGTTGTGTTGCAGTCCTGTCAGGAATTTATTCTTGGAGTGATTTTGAGAAGTAAATGTGTTTAGCTTTGATAGCTGCATCCAGCAGCCTTCCTAACTTAGTGTTATTTTGTTAAAATTAGTTTGCTACAATCCAGAAATTGTGAGCTCTTTGTTTTTTCAGGATTCTCAAGAAATCTACACAAGTTTTTACACAATGAAATGGTTTTTTCAGTGTTTCCTTGATCGTGTAAGTATTTATTTACAAAACGCAATCATGAAATTATAAATACAAAATGAGGGGAAACTGTTAACCTTATTTTTGTTTTGTTTTGTTTTGCTTTTAATTATAGACTCCCTTTACACTAAACCTCAGAATATGGGATATCTACATCTTTGAAGGAGAACGAGTTCTTACTGCTATGTCTTACACAATCTTAAAATTACACAAAAGTAAGAAAATGCTTAATCTATAAAGATTTCATAAAAATTAAGAATTATTTAACCTTGATTTCTCATTCCCCACCCTACTCCAAATTCATTGTCTTTAATAGTGGTTTAAATTTTTTTTTTAATCAGTGGAGAAATTATCATCAATCGATAATATACTTTTATAACTTCTTTCTCGTGACTAGAAGCTTACTTCACTGCAAAGGTCTTTGGTTCTTTTCTCCTTATATCAGTGGCATTTTCACACTTAAATAGAAAGCAGTTATTTGGTTTCAGTAATAATACTTTTTGTTAAGTATTTGTTTCCACTGGGAACCCTTGTCCTTTACATCAGTCTGAATCTCAAGTTTGCGGTAAGAGAAGAAAGACCAAAGGAACGAGGCGCCTTAGTTCAAAGGGCTGGAGAGAACATTTTCTAGTATTGATTCCTTCATCCAGGGAGAACAGCACCCAGCTCTGAACCATGGGTGGGAGGGTTCAGATCCACTTCTCTACTGGAGTGCATTATGGCCTCTGGGGCAAGTTCAGCCAGTGTCTACAGGCAGATAAATGCAGCAAGGCTAAAAAAACAAAAAAACAAACACTGGAGAATTCCTAGTCTTCAGCTGCAATATTTTAAGGGCTCTATAAATTTGATATGTTACACCTTACTTTAAAATAAAGAAATGAGAGGGTTTTTTTTTTTTTTTCATGAAGAACCGTATTCATCTGTAAAGTATCAATTCAGCCTTAAAAGTTATGTGACTTCTCTTGTAGCTATACAGAAAAGAAAATAATTGAAAGCTTTAGAGCTTCATGTAGTCCACACTTCTAATCTAGGTCATACCACATAGTTTCATGTTCATAGTACACTCTATTGTCTTATTTATTCTTGAATGGTCTGTTCCATTTCCCAAATAAATTATAAGCTAATTGAGTGCACAGGGTCATGTTTGTAGTTTTTCTCTCTGCTGTGCTTGGCAGTGTTCTAAGCACGTGTTGCATACTTTGCTATAAGATTGTTTGGTTGCTTACTTGAAAAGCATGGACTGCAGGAGTGCCAGATTATCTATAGGTTAGACAGGAATGAACATGCCCTTTAAAATCACCTTTGTTATGTTTACTTTTTTCAAGAAAATGACTCAGAATTGTTGTGGTTCACTTCCCTTATACTCAATTCTTCTTTCCCCAACTAATGCACCAAAACAAATGACAATGAATTGTCTTCCAGGATTCAGCATCTGTCATCTGATCATGTGAAATCTCTTTCCCTTCCTCCCTTCACCTACCCCGAACTGCCGTCCGCACGCATGTCTCTCTATCTCTCCCTCCCTCCCTCTCCCCGCCCCCTCTCCCCCTTTCCCCTTCTCCCCTTCTCCTACCCCTCCCTTGGCCCCCACTTTTGTTTCTGGATTGTGAGTGGATCAAAATAGAGAACAGAAGCACAGTTTTTATTAAGACACATTAGCTTAATGCTAATGTCACTCTCATTTTTTTCTTAAGTTGTTCTACTTATATGATGCTCGATCGGTTTTGACAAGTAAAAAGTTTCTTCACCCTTGTAAATAAATGTTAAGCAAAGCAACTACTTTACATACCACCTTATCATTAGACTAAATGAGCTGTGGAAAAATCTGTCTGCTGTTGTGTACTTTTCTTGGTTAGAGTGACAAAGCTCAAGTACTTACATGAATTCCCGCCCCACCATATAAAGTTTCCAAAATGGAAAGAGGGCTGGGATTTGGGAAGAGAGTCTGGTTAAAATTTCAGTTAGACAGGAGGAATAAGTTCTGGAGACCTGTCATACAGCATGGTGACTATAATTTATAATAATGTATAGTATACTTGAAAGTTGCTGAGAGAGATCTTAAATATTCTCACGACAAAAAGGTAAGTATGTGAGGTAATAATGAGGTACTAGCTTGATTTAGTCATTCCACGTATATACGTATATCAGAAAATACTGTATACCACAAATATATAGAATTTGTCATTAGCCAATTTAAAAAGAACTTTCTGGGCATATTAACCAATAGTTAGCTGAAGCTCATAAGATATTTTTTCCTTCCTTTTTCTTTTTTTTCTTACTGATTGTCTTGAAAATACGTTATGACTGCATGTGCGTCACACAGTGGTTTTAAATAATAAAAAATCAGAAACCACATAAATGGCCATTACTAAAAGACTGATTAAGTAAATTCCAATGCATACATACAGTACACTCTTATACAGCTATTAATGATGATATAAAAGCATATTTGCTAAAATGAGAGATATCAGTGATACATTATTGAATGGGAAAAAAAGCAAAAAGGTGAATAACTTGAAAAGTATAATTTGGATTTTTTAGTTGATACACATAAACACTTGTAAATACACGGATCTACCTGTAGGGTATTATGTAATGAGATCTTGGCAGATTTTTACTTTCTGCTTTGTGTTCATATTTAATTTGAATTTCTTTTTCCAAGAAAATGAATTTCATAAGTAGAAATAAAACTCACAAAGTTAATAATCCAGATGTTCTGGGAAATTCTGAAACAGTCATAAATATAGACTTAAAATGGGGCTTCCCTATAGCATTTGGAGCTCCATTTCATTATAAGAGAAAGGCCTCATGCCCGCTGAGGTGGTCTTACTGTGTCTGTCTCTAAGAAGCTCTTGCTCTGGGGTAAAATTAATGCCTACGTGTGTGGTTATTCCAATGAGGAAGTATTAGGCAGTAGTCTCCTCCCCTCCTTTCCCCAGTAAACTTTCCTGCTTTTCCCTGTGACAATATTTCTGTCTTACTGAGTTTTAATGATGTCCTCAATGCCATATGTAAGTTGTATGTTGTTTGTGCCCTTTTTAATGCCCTTTTACACTACACCTGACTATAATAGAATATCTTTCTACCTAAAGTAGCTATTGACCTGGCATTTTCATTTCTCTTGTCCTTTCTTAGAACATCTAATGAAATTGTCCATGGAAGAACTTGTAGAATTTCTTCAGGAGACCTTGGCAAAGGATTTTTTCTTCGAAGATGATTTTGTTATAGAGCAACTTCAGATTTCTATGGCAGAACTAAAGCGGGCAAAGTTAGACCTTCCAGAACCTGGTAAGAATTTCCTCAACACTTTATATCTACACTTTATATCTGTAATTAAAATTGGAAGACATGGCACAATTAACATGGGCTGTTTCTTGCCCAAAGCGTAAGCATTCGATCAGGTATTGATCGACTTACGACCTATGCAACTTACGACCATTCGACTTTACGACCACAATCGCTAGCCACAACTGCTCCGCGTCTGGCAGCGCAGACATTGCCCAGCTGGGCGTACAACAGTGCAGACCAGCTTCCGGCAGCACTACCATCTCCGCGTGCACCATTTCAACTGTACATATAGCCTACTCAGCTTACGACCAAATCGTGTTACAACTGGTCCGCGGTCCAGACCGTGGTCATAAGTCTAGCACTAGCTTACTATACTTGTGATGACATAATATAGATCAATGCCTTACCAGCTCAGCTGCTTTGGTTTTTTTTTCTTATTTTAGGGAAAGGCAAGTAAACATAATAATTAAATCTACATCTCCTAATAGATGACTGTACTATTCCTACTTAAATTTAGAAAGCAAATACTATTCAACAGAAGCAGCCATAGTGCTTTAAACTAGCATAACAATAATCTTTTTTTTTTTTTTTTTGCTTCCTTCATCTCATTTCGTGAAAACATATACAATAGTGGAGCAAAGTAAAAGCCCCATCTTACAGATGAGGAAATGGATACTTAAGTGCTTAATATGAAGCCATGGATCCACCAGATAGCATTACTGAGACTGGAGGCCAGTTTTTCTGACTACTAACCCAGGGCTCTTTGTAGTATGCTGCAGTATAGATAATATATTTTATATTTTAAGATGTTTTCCCACACTGACTATTAGGTTTTTTGCTAGGTACTTTGCTGGGGATTTCAGAACTGAAAAGAAAGATGAGAGCAAGCACTCAGGGTGTGCATAGGAGAGCCAGAATTTACGAAAATGCTAACAGAGGGTGAATGGGGCATTACTAGAGCTAGCTGCAGCATAAGTAGGAGGGGGCAGGGGAAGGGAGTAGAGGAAGGGAGAGAAGAAACTAAAAATGTTGAAAGATCACAGGAGAAATAACTTTCAGAAGTTTCGACCAGATAGTACTTGACAGCGTACGTCCTGAGAAAAAGTTCTTTTGCCTTTCTTCCTTCTTACCTTTGTTGCAGTGGATGGGTGTAGTAAGAGGCTAGGGAAGTGGAAAGCCATGGGTGAGAGATGAAAAGTAAAGAAAGTCAGTTATGTATGCCCTCAGGTAGAGGTGAATTTGGCGGTTCCCAATCTGTGTGTGTCTATACAGAATATGTTATGTTGGCTGTGTCTATACAGAAGGACAAGTAGTACTTCCGTGGAAAATACGGTTTTCCCTTTGGTAAAAACCAAGATGCTCTGCTTTTATTTACCTAATTGAGAGGTCTCTAATCACCACTGCTCCGAGGTTCGCTCAAGGGCATCCAGATTCTTAGGAAGCAACCCTCACAGCAATAATGAGATGTGGCATATAGGCCTTGTAGAGCCGATGCCTTTGCTAAGTGAGGTCCCCCTGACTGTTCGGTTTAATGATGTCCATTTTCTACTCTCATTTATTTATTTGTATTTATTTATTTAATTTATTATTTTCTACTGTCATTTATTTTTAAATATCTTGCCTCCTTTTAAAAAGAGTTCAAGGCAAGTTTTAGTAAAAAAAATATATAGAGGAAAAAATACAGAACTATTTAAACATGAGATAAAAATTCAAAACCTGTGTCATGGATTGCAATGATGGTGACTTAGCATCTAATTAGCAGCTAATATTTATTGGATGTTTACTGTGTGCCACATACCACAAGTGCTCTCTCTTTTAATTTCAAAAAATAACTCAAAGAAAGTGCTCATCTACATTGTGTAGATAAGGAAACGTAGTAGTAGTAGTCTTTAAGATCATTTGACTAGAAAATGAGAATGGGGCAGGGGTGAAAAGAAGAGGGATAAATAATAGCAGAATCATGCTCTGATCTTACTGGTGGTTAAGGTAGAATGGATGAGTCATTTCTGCATTTTCTAGCATGATCATCTGCCTTTCATCACCTGCCTGTCACTCTCCTCTTTGAGTTGTTGTCAACTGTATATGGAACACTAAGATAAATGGACGTCATACCAAGAAATTTCAATGCCACATCTATGCTTTTAAAAACATACATGAACATGGTGCTTCCTTGTGAATCCTTACATACTGTGGCAGTGTGAACCTCCCACCAGTCACTTACGATGACGCCTGATTCCTAGGCCCACATGAAAACATGGTGCTGTTAAATGGTAAAATTTTTGCTGATCGGATAGAGTCTTCCGTTGTTGTTCTGATTGGTAGTTCTTTGAGTATCATTCTTAGATATTTTTGGGGCATCTTTCTTTCTTTTTCTGTGAACTTCTGCATTCATCTGTTGCTCATTTTTCTATTGGTCTGTTCATACAGGTTCTTGTTAAGGAGACTGACCAGTTTATTAGTGTTGCAGACACCTTCCATACAGCTTTCCCTGTGGCTTCTTGCTTTTGCACCTTATGTAAAGAATTTTCCACATGCTGCATAAAGTGTTTATTCTTAATTACCCATATTTCTCTTCTAACATTTGTATTTTTTTTAATGTTTATGGGTAACAACTTCATTGAGATATAATTGAATATGATTAAATCTTTAGCTCATCTGGAATTTACTTTTTGTTATGGAATAAGAACTCAGCTCTGCTTATTTTCCAAACCATTAGTCATGTGGATTAGTAGCATTTATTAAATTACATTTTGACACTGTATTCTGTTCCATTACTCTCTGCTTTTCCAGTTACACATTTTAAATATGAGACAGGGTCTCACTCTGTTGCCCAGGCTGGAGTGTAGTGGCTCAATCACTGCTTACTGCAGCCTCGACGTCCTTAGTTCAAGTGATCCCCCCACTGCAGTCTCCCCAGGTAGCTGGGACTACAGGCACATGCCACCACTCCTGGGTAATTTTTGTATTTTTTTGTAGAGGGAGGGTTTTACCACGTTCCCCAGGCTGGTCTCAAGCTCCTGGATTCAAGTAGTCTGCCCACCTTGGCCTCCCAAAGTACGAGAATCACAGGAGCATCTGGCCTCCAGTTACACTTCGAATATCTATTAGGGCAAATGTCCCCTCATTACTTTTTGTTATTTTGTCAAGTTACAAAAAATAATCCACTAGTATTTTAGTGGTATTCAGATACAGTATTTTATTTGTATTGTGATTGCACTGAAATTAAGGATTCTTGAGAGAAAAATTGTTGTTTAAAAAATTGTGTTTTTCTAAGTAAAAACTTTTATTTTACAGTTGTTGAGGTTTGTTTTCTTCATGTGACTGTTAGGCATTTCTGATCTCACATTCCACTCCCCACTTGTGTACCATATGAAACGTGGCTGTTAGCAGGTGGTCACTGGACAACCCCAGGTGTGCTGCAGACCTGCCTTTTCCCCACAGCCTCAGGTGTGTGGACCTCACCACTGCCACTGGTACTGGAGCCTAAGCTGGGGCTCTGCAGAGAACACTAGACAGAGTGAAGGCAGGAATGCCAGAATTGTATCTTGTTTATTGCTATTGCAACTTGAAGCTTTTCTTCCATTTCTAACTGGTTAGGAAAAGTCTCAATATCCTTTTAATATTATTTCTGTGGCCAGTATATTTGATCAATTATCTGAGATTTTCTAAGATTTAAGATATACAATCTAATCTTTAATAAATAATAGTTCTTCCTCTTCCTTTTCAGTATTCATGTTTTCTATCTTTTTTTTTAGAAAATAGCTAGAAGGTATTCAGCTATTACTGTTTTTAAATTTTCTTGAAAAAATCAAAGTGCATGTTCAGTTTTTTTTTTAATGCCTTTTGAACACAAATGAGTTAATCATTTTTTTCCCCTTTAAGACTTTGTCACATGAATAATTTTTTAAATATATTTCCTAGTAGTGAACCATCACTGCAATTCTTGGATAAACTTCACTTGGTTGTTATAAATTATTCCTTTATAGTACTGCTGATTTATTACTCTCTTTTACTTAACATTTAAAATGGTTATTCCTGAGATTTCATTACAGTTAACTAAAATATCTGTGTTCTCAGGTTACACTGGATTCATAATTCGGAAACTTTCCTTCTCTCTCTCTCTCTTCTGGAACTTTTACAAAGTATTAAAGTTATTCCTTAATAGCTGAAAAATATATTTGTGAAACTATTTCTGTCTGATATAATTGTTTTGGGAGATAATGTTTTGATTGTTTTATCTTCTAAGGTCAATGTGGGTCATTTGGTCATTTATATTTTCCTAGAAAGCTGTTCATTTCTAGTTTCTTAATATATTTATGTAAGGTTTTACAAAGTAATCTCTTATGATTATTCTACCTTTATATCTGTAACTATCCTACATTTTCATTTCTCACTTTCTTTGTACTTTTCTCCCGCTCCTTGATAAAATTACCTGGAAATTAGCCTTCATTAATTGTCGTGTATCAAGAATCAGCTCCTGAATGAGTTAATTGTGATTTTCTTAGTTTATTTTTATTTTTATTTTTATTTTTATTTTCCCATAAAGTCAAATGTTTGGCAAGGTGTGGTGACTCATGCCTGTCATCCCAACACTTTGGTTACTTCCTTACTGCCAATTTAGCCAGATTTATAGTTTATGACCAACATAGAAGAATCAAAAAAGATTTTTGTCAGAATAATTGACAGCCATTCTAGTCTTGGTAAATGGCCAGAACCTTCAGGGTACTTCAGTGCTTCTGAGAGAACATTCACACTCCTTAGTGTGACACATAGCACTTTCTCTGCTGTCTGCTTCTTCTAGACTTCACATCCCACCTCCCCAGCCACTTTTGAGTCACATAACAGTAATGATAACAGCAAACTTTGAGTCTTCTGTGATAGACTTTTTGCTAAATGCTTTGTATTCACGTATTAACTTACTTTTTTCCAGCAGCCCTTTGCAGTAGGCATTTGTTGATGCAAGCTTTTTTTTTTTTCTTAAATCATTAACTCAAGGACAAATTTTCTACACACAGGATTATTTGGATTTTAAAAATTAATACTCAAGTTACACATTATTTCTAATTCACATTTAATTCAGTTTACAAAAATTAATATAGTATTTTTAAATCTGGCAAATGTTAACATTCTTGTCTAATGTAACTTTAGTTAATGTTTGGTTCCACTTATAAACAAACTCCTACAAACGTTTTTGATTGCCTTTAAAAATGTAATATATCCAGTTTCCTTTAAATGTATCAAATTTCAACCTAAAAATAAAATGTTCCCTAGTACTAAAAAACTTACAAATTTAATTCAACCTTAAGAATATGCCGAACCTTAAGTTTCTCAGTTGTTTCAATACTGTTTGTAAGTTTAAAATCCAAAGTTCAAATCAGTGACTCATTTGCATATTTTAAATTGGCATAAGAAGGCCAACTTGGCCAAATTCTCTGAAATATAAGTATGTAAAACAGAGAAAATTCTAAACACAGATTCCTTAATGCAAAAAATTACAGAATTAATCACGTTTGATTCTCTTAAACTTTGCCATTTATTTCTAGATCTTCAAGAAGTAAGGCTCTTTTTCCCAGATAAATTTGGGGTATACTTTCAGGCGGCCCTGCCTTGGTTATCCTGAGGGTGGTGCCTACGAGGGGGCTTGCCACATGTCCGGACTCCTTAGGCCCTGGCCGCACACCACCGCCGCCCTCCTCCGCCGCCGC